TTGAACAATGACATGTAACTATCAGCGCACGATCACAGGCACGGCACTCATGTGTCATGTCAGAGATGAATAAATCATAAACACAACAAACACAGTATGTATTTCCTGTGTGGATGTCGGACGCGCGTGATGCACACAGCACTCATTACGCTCAGACTCTGTGATGGATCGGTGACCTGCCATGCGACGCACGCCGATGTTTTTATTCACTGCGACCTTCAACAAAAACAAATAAAGCGAACGACTGGAATTATTTCAGCCAGTGTTAATATCGTATATCAGTGTGCTGTCACTGATGTCCATCTGGATGAAACCATTCAGGGTTCTGAATGAGCCAGAGCCTCAGTAACAAGGCAGCAGCAGACACACACACTCACTCACACACACTCATACACACACACACCTCCCTCGGGTTCGGGCTCCAGCTGGAGGGACATGCTAGGGCAACCTGTCCCTATTATTGTTTGTGACAGAATCAAGAAGGAAATGCAAGTAACAAAAGTGCGTGCGTTGTGCCCTGCACGTCAGACTCTGCTGGCACTGCCCTCGATGTAATTACGGGCATGGGTGGCCGGCTATGACAGCTCATCTGTTAGCCGGGGCCAGCAGGAGAGTGAGGCACCTGGTGAGCTGCAGATACACACAAATTAAAAGACCCACATACAGCACCTCACAACACAAAGACAACGTCCACACTATTTCACTCTGCTCATTAGCAGCGAGGCTACATGACCTGCCACTGACTGACTGATTTCAGGTGCCATGCTAACGAGCTAGCTGAGGCTGCACCCCCCCCCCCCCCCCCCCGACATGATCACTTTAATTAGCCTCATCTTATCATATATTCAGAAACCAATTACAGCTGAGCGGGCATTGCTTTTGAATTGATTAGGCGCCATGGAAAAAATGTTCTGGACTTTGTTTTTGAAATGTGATCTCAAACCTGCATCACTCAACGTTTTACAGCCCAGATGGTTTCTAAAAATAGTGTTTTTATTGGGTGACAATGCTTTTCTTTTTAGTTGAAACACACTGTTTTTTTGTTAAAAATCCCCCCAGAGTCGAGTGAATTCTTTAATTGTCCGTTTAAAGATCGAAGAGCAACAAATTAAGCGACCTGGAAAGTCTCACAGCTTACTGTGCAGAACAGATTTCTGTCAGGACGACCGTCCCGTGTGCAGCCAGAAGGGGGGTGGATGGGTGGGTGAGGGGGCCAATCATCATGTGCTCACCCTTTGGCAGAACGCCCCCCAATCAGGGATGAGTAATGACCGGGCAGGTTAGCATGCCGTGATCCCAGCTTTCTAATTAGTCTTCCATTAACTTTTTCAACCTTGGCGGCTGCAGGGTGCACACTCAAAACACACATGCGCGCACACACACACACACACACACACACACACACACACACACACACACACACACACACACACACAGACCTTACAATCTCAGACAGAAACACTGGGCCTCTTTTTCAACATGCAGATCTTAAATTAATATTTAGCCACATCTTAAACCGTGCACTGCTTTTTATAATCATGCACAAGCGGTTGTATCGTGTGCCCAGTGTGCGGAGGCTGCAGCGCTCGTCACAGCAGCTGTGGGTTTGAATCTGACCTCGGCCTTTTGCTGCATGTCTACCCCATCGACTGTAAATATGAATGTTTGAAGCCTGAGTGACGTCAGCTATCTGTTCCTGCAGGGGGCTCCAGAGGCTCATGGGCAGCAGCCGCCATGTTGAAAATGCTGTCTCAGTCTAACTTTCAGTCGATCTAACGACAGGCTGAGAGCTGGAGCTGAGGCGGGTTTTAAACCTCCTGACAAACCGTTACGCCGCGCCCACATCACTCAGGTTAGCTACACGGCTAGCTATGGATAACTAGTATTGTTTTTATAATGAAAACAGTGCCAGTGATGATAATATCTAATCAGACTTAGTTTTTTGTACCAGGCTGTAAACATGTTTATTTATGCTGTAAAAATGTTTTTTTTTTTTTAAATGGGTGTGTATGTGACTTGCGGTGTTCCTGCAGCCAGCCTCTAGTGGACACTTGATGAACTGCAGGGATTTTGCACTTCAGCATTCGCTTCATTTTTCAACTCCGGAGGTTGCTGCTTGGTCAGCTCTCTCCTCTCTGCATTTCCTGTCTCTCTTCAGCCGTCCTGTCCAATGACGTACTGTATGCACGATAATGACACTTACAGCTTTTCAACATTTCTCTTGTTCTAGGTGATCAAGCAAAAAATGTTAAAGCATGCATGAAAGAAAGTACGAGTGTGTTTCATGAGAAATGTTTTTTATGGATAAAAACTGTTAGTTTAAGTGTGTTTGCTTCTTAAGGCTGTGCAGCCGCTCATTGATCGTCCTGCTTTGACTTTTCAGCACGACATGTGTGCATGCAGGAGATAAGGCGCCTTTGAAAAGAATAAGCAAAGACTGGTGGGTTTTTACTTTTACAAAAAGAAGAAGCCAGAGATCACCTTCTCTGTTACATGCAATTCATTTTACAGCGTCTTTGTTTGTTTGGATGCAGACAGAATGTCAAGGTTTCAACACCCGCAATTGTGGGCTTTTCTTATGGCATCCTGGTCTGGCTGATATCTGTCAAAGACCATACGATGTGTCTCTGATCTGCAGAATAAAAGAAACCTTCCCCCTAGCTTTCTGCAGACTGTGGACACGCTGTAACAGAAACTCCACAAAGAGATTGACAGAGAGGGAGAGGAAGGCAGAGAAACAGAGTCTACATGACATGGATGCTGAGAGTTTCTGTTTGTTTGGTTTTCTTTCAGTAAACTCAGAATATACAATCCTTACTATTTCTTCTTACCTGCATCGCATTTAACATAAGATATAAGAAAATATTTGTGGCTTTCCTTGTTTTTCTTTGCCTCTTGTGCACACACACACACACACACACACACACACACACCAGCTTTTGTGTGTTTCATGAAGGCATAAATTCATGATTCATCCGGTTTCCCAGTGGGTAGTCGGTTTGAGAATGGAGCGTTATAAAAGAGTAATGGAAATTCCCGGGGAGCTGCTGTCCTGTGGCCCTCCTGCACCCAGTGGTAGGCTCTATCTTGGCGCCTTATCGCTTTTTGCACAATCTGTTTGTCAGCGAGCCCGTGACTTCAAAGGAGACTTAAAGCTTTTCTTTCGGGGGGTTGAAGGGGTTCAGAGAGGCAGTCTACATTTTATGAACAAAGACTTCCCCTCTAGACTTCTAGCAGAATAAAAATGTTACCATCCTGGATGCAGCTCCTAACATTTACTCCAAAGCACAGATCATAAACTATTAATAGATATTTGTCTGTAGGAGCATCAGAAGGGCGCCTCTTTGAATCAGATCCTTGTGTGGTGCTGGGTCAGGAAGGGGGGCTGGTAAGCTGGCGAGCTTTCCTTTATTCTCTCATAACTTCACTTTTCCTGCATGAAGGAGGACGGAGGGCAGATAGCCACCATTATAGCTGTTGTGTTTAAATTGCCATTATTCAGTCGAGCGATTATCTGCTGCTGAGGTGTGTAATGCATCTCTGTGTCTGTGACTGACGCCTGCACATCTGAGACTCCACCAGAGGACGGAGGAGAGGGAGAGAGAGGTGACCTCGTCCTCTGCAGACTTTCTGCAGCCTTGTGTAAGACACATTATCATACAGGAAGTGCAGACAGACGGATTTACATCTCTGTTTAAAAACCGACACTAGGCCCATAGTTTGCAGGGTTGGAACGTTATCTGCAGTTGGTGCTTTTTATTCATGCTAAATTTAGCGTGCATCAGTCAGTGAAATATTTGAGCTTTGGATCTTTTACACCAGCTGAACAGTTTTTTTTTAAATATTTGAGCAGTTATAAGTTCAGAGCTAAAGTATCTTTGACTCCGCTGCAGCAGGGGGCGATATGCCCTAATTCAGCTAGTTACTACCGGACATTTTTCCTGTTGACCTATTACAGTACCACACACACAGAGGCGCTGCTCGTCAACAGGAAAGGGAGGCAGCTGCGTGGGGCCCCAGACCAGTAGGGGGCGCCCCTGAGAGCTCACAAACCGAAGATTTCTAAACCGAAGCAGTGGCCCAAAATGTGCAAATTTTGCAACAACAGTCGTAAATCTCCCTAAGGGGGGCCCCATCTCACTGTCATTGTCCACTTAAGCATCCCAAACATTATTGCTGTGGAAAAGGTTAAAGGGAAAGATAAAGAGGAACTTTCCTTCTATAGGAGAGAGAAAAAAGGAAGAGGAAGAAGAGTGGCAGAAATGATGGTGATGAATGCTGGTTGGAGGGCCCCCCAGTTGGTTTTTGCCCAGGGCCCCAACAGACTCTAGAATCGTCACTGACGACACAAACCATACAATCGAGAAACGAGTAGTTTACTGCTCTTTATCCATCAGTTACAATTTCTGCAAGAAGTGGAGGTGAGGCGTTGTGAGCACGCAGCAGGAAATATTCAGGAAAGTCCACTGAGAGCGAACGAGCAGGAGTGATGACGTCTTTATTCTGGGAATTCTGCAAAACCAGCAGGATCTTCTTCACCCTAAAGATGCGGCCTCGTACTCTTTTCTGCATGCCAATTTTTTTTGTTAATACCTTGAATACGTCTAATTACATGAAGCGTTGAAACAAAGGCAATAACTCTCATCATAGTGTCGCGCTCTGCTTCGTCCACCATCTTGGATGTGTTGCAGCATCATTAATTTATTTGACATTTCTCTTGTACTTCCCTAATTTGGGTGAAGTGTTCTCCATCCCTCACCCTCGACGGTGCAATTTCACGTCGTTGCACTTTGTCGGGTACTTTGGGGTATTGCTCAGCTCGAAACCAATTCAGCCACTCGCTAATGCTTCCTCTGATGTAATGTGCTGTAACATATTCCCTGAAAGATGTCTCCGGGTGTCTGGTTACGCTGGTCTTGATTGTGAGGGTTCACTAATGGAGTTCCTGAATGGCCGTGATTCGGTCCTGTTCACTGACATCTCTTTCCTTTCGTCCACAGATCACTCGGGTCATTTTCTGTGTCTTCCTCGAGACTGACTTTGCCATCTACAAGAAGAAAATTCCTGAAATCTTTCAAGGTAAGTGTGCTTTCTTCCAATATAGTATATAAAAAATACCATCCAGCACAGTGACTTGCTTGCACTCAACTCAAATAGGGTATGTGTCATGATACTGGGTCAACAATATGATCTCGGTTTTATCACAGTTTTCTTTTCTTTTCTTTTATTGTGAAAATCTTCAGAGAGAGAGGACTTTAAAGAGAACTGGGCAGTAAATCAGACAGCCCGGATTAAACAAACTGGCAAAAACATTACAAACACAAAAAACAATAAAAACACCCCCCAAAAAACAAAAACAAAAAGAGACAGATAGAGCTTTCACACTCGCAGAAAACTCCTGAAAAACTCCTGACCCAATTTTTCACTCGGACATTGTTGTAACATGTGTATGATAAATAACGAGGTTATTAGTTTTCGTTTGAGAATGGGTTTTCCTATTTTCTGGTGTGCACTTGAACGTCACTCGTTTTACCCTTGATTGCAGCACGTTGCTGTCTTGTTCACATTCTGTAAACAAACTCTTACCATTCAATATAAAAAGTGAATATGTGGACATAAAGTCCTCCTTAGGAGTTATCACAGACTTCACTCCTCCAGCCTCCTCGTATTTATTCTGCAGAAAGTCAGAGTGAGCTGATGTGAGAACACAGCAGGATCTTTAGTTCACATTGACATTCTGTTCAACTACACGTAGCATTGATACAAACACACATATTCTCATCATAAGGTTTAGGGTTTAAGGGTGGCTAGTTGGACTGAGAGAGATATGAACAGGTATATGTGTGTGTGTGTAGGTGTGTGTCTTTGTTAGCACAACAGTACAACACATGTACAAAAACTAATTTATGTCATTTAATGAAAATATATGATTCTTTCAAAATAAATTTAATTTTTTCTTATTTTTACCCCTCTCTTCTTCAGCTACTGTTTTCTACATAAGAGAAGCCAAAGCAGATGCCGCCCCCTGCTGGTTAAAAAAAAGAGTATTACCAATTTTTTTTTTGTCACAGATTTAAATTGTTCTTTGTTCTAATTTTGTATTGTGAGGTTTCATCTTATAGCGCAAGCCAACATTAAGCGACTGACGTTTTCTAACATGCTCTGAGGCGTTTCTGAATCTTTTATTCGATCGGCAGCTTCCCTTCCTTTTGAATCACAGGAAACATCTGCAGCTACAGATACGTCGTCCCATGGAAGCTGGATTTTTAGGAGCTGTCAAGCGTCGGTGACACCTTCAAATGTTAAACGAATTCACTGCAGCCGCTCGGCCACCGTTTGGGAATATGAACAGTGAGCGTGTGTGCAGACGGTTTGGTGAAACAAGTGTCAGGTCGCCTCGGTGGGATTGGAATAGTTTAGACTTCTCGTCAGTGAAGCAGCGAGGTTGATCATTTACATAGCAGTTGATATTCTGATGAGATTTTAATGTCAGATTTGATTGACTGTGATAACGGCGCTCAGTAGAAAACGTCCCTCGAAAGAAGTGAAAAATTCAGGATGCATAACAACCACGGTCTGTCCTTGGTTACGGCTCCTCCATCCTGTGTGTGAGATAAACAAACATCCATTATCGTCTGCTCCCGCTCTCCTTTCTGTCCCTCTTTCAATTCCCTCCTCTCTTTCATGCCATCATCTTTTTTTTTTCGGGGGGCCGGGCGCAGTCACCAGCTCCTGATGGGGGCTCCACAGAGGATTGAGTTTAATAGCCAGGGAGCCAGAAAGAGGCTGGCTGGCTCCAGCAGCCTAGCATTACTTCCCTCTTTACCTCACTCCCCCCCCCCCCAGCGGAATAGCGGCTCTCAGGCCTCCACCTCGCCATTCTCCAAGACGGGGAGTGTTTTGTTCCCCTCTGAGCTCCCGTCATCCCCCCAACCCCCCCCCCCCTCTTCCCTGAAAGATTACATTCTGGGGAGAGACCTTAATTATATTGCCTGCCCCCCCGTGCTCCCAGCACCCGTCTCATCATATTAGTGCTCTGAGATGAGAATGTGGAGCTGTTGTTCTCCAGTTATCACTCTCACCATTTACAAGTGCTGTCAGCGGATAAACGCCCCGAGTCTGTCCATGACCGAGAGCCGAGAGGAAACAAAACAACAGACCCAGAGAGCGCCGAGGAGGGGAGTCAGAAACTTTGGAAACTCATCAGAAGAGAACTCTTGTTTCCAAATCAAGCAATCTCAGAACCAGTGATGGGCTGACGGCTGAAAAATGAGTAACCAGTTACTCGTATTGTTCACATTATTTACCGCTGCTGTGAGAGGAAACAACTCTCACATTCAGATAAGATTCTACAATTCACTTATCAGACTCTTTTATCCAAAACGACGTACATCAGAGAGTAAGAACAACACAAGAGAGGATCTAGAAAAAAGGGAACAATGTGAGTAAGAGCAAACGATCAGCTTTGAGTCTGATTGGACACACAGGTGCTGACAGGAAGTGACCAGAGGCAAAGCACAACATTGAGGGCAGTTCTTGAGAGCTCTAATCAGTATAGAAACCATCTTATAAGTCGTCGTTATCAAACAAAAACCATCGTCGTTACCATCATCATCATCAATAATATGGAGACCATCATCATTAAGTTAGTAGGTATTCATAACCCTGTAATCATTTTGTACATACAGTATTTTGCTGTATTAGTTCTCTGAAGACTCAACAGTTGACATGAAGCATGGCGTCAACAACATACCTGTCTGTTAGTCTATAGTCTGTCTTAGAGATCAGGGAGCAGGCGGTGTTTTAAATCAAGCCGGTTGTTTGTATGTAGCGTCTCCTCTTTGGTTGGCCGAGCTAACGGGAGCTGAACCTTTGTGAGAGATTGCAGTGACGAGTTTTTCTTCCTGCACATAGACGCCGATTCAAATACATAAACTGAAAATTCTGCAAAACATGTCAAACTGCATTGTCTTTGATCGGAGCCACTTTTATGACTGTTCTATATTAATAGGCAAGAGACGATACAAAAATTTGTTATCGCCGATGCTGCACCACCTTAGGCTCATTGTCGGGATTGTTGCAGCTTTAAACGTACAGTATGTAAAATCCGCCACCAGGGGGCTCTCATCAAAACAATAATAAAAGATGACGTTGAGGCTCGCGGGGAATCATGGGAGTTCTCTCTGCTACTACTTGTTATTTGAAGGTAAACATTGCCATATAATTCTACATACTACACCTTTAAGATTATCATATGTTACTCAAAACTATCGTACAGAGGAGAAAAACCTGAGAAAGTTCTTAAAAACCAAACTGAAACCATGCAACGCTCGTCCCTGAACACAACATTCATTTAAATAAATAAACAACCAAAGGAAAAAACTATTTAACTATTAAAGTGCATATTGTTTGCTAACTGCTGATGCAAACCTCCCCTCCTGCCACGCCCCCCTGCAGGACAAACCATCGGTCCTGGGGGGACAGGGCCTTCTCCATTGCTGCTCCCACCCTCTGGAACTCACTCCCAGTTGTTATTCCTTGTTAAGCGTCTTGAGTATTTAGAAAAGTCTAATTTATTATTATTATTATTTTTTTTTTATTAAATGCTCCGCTGTTAAGCTAAGCTAGCAGCATCTTAAATTGTGGTGCCGTGCGTTTTCCTACCATCTGTGTGGCATAACGAGTCGGTTGGTGAGCAGGGCATCAAGTGATGATCTGATTGGCAGGTAGAGGCGAGCGGCAGGCGTGTCAGTCAGGTGCTGATGTCATGGCCACCTCAGTCAGGTTAGAGGTGATTGGTTGCTCTCAAATCCCAAACAACGTTTATAAATTGAGGGGACATTGAAAACACAAAATGATGGTAATTATTGATCGCACAGAGAGCAGGATTATGGTTCAGCTCATTATGGAACATCTGGCAACACGGGTCCGGATTGAGGCAGATGTGTTTTCATTTTTTTATCACCCACCTGCTCCGATCTTTAAACTCCAGTTCACGTTCAAAGCTTTCACCTTGCTCTCTATGAAAACAGAAACTCTGTTCAGATTTCCCACAAGGAAGAACTCCAAGGTAAAAATAATTACTGCTGCAAGAATCTCAAGTTAAGGAAGTAGATTCAAATGTTTTATCCATGCAGGCGTCAGCAGCCTGTAGATGTGTGTGTTTAACAGGAGATGATGAAGTGTTGCTTTAAAGAAAGAAGGCGCTGATTGGTATGATTGCACCATGTAGGGAACGCGTAACCCCGTAGTGTAAAAAAGACTTTCATTTAGCCCCGAGCAGGATGACAGTAGTGAATCAGAGGCTGTGAATTAGCTCTGCAGGTGTGTGCTCCAGCGCTTTCAGAACATCCCATCATCCTCTCTGCTAGAGACGTGACAGCCAGGTAGATTTTGTGTCATCACCCAAATGCATCACAGAGGAGCCCGCTCGCTTTCTTTTCCTCCTCACTGATTCTCACTCACACCTCCTCCTGTTTCCCATGCCACTCGCCCATTACCTCATCCCCGCCGCTCGCTTTCATTCTTCCTCATTACATGGAGGAGGAGCTTCTTCTCCACCTCCTCGTCGATCGGTGGAACTTGTTGTGGATAGCGGCCTTGATCTTCCCTCTGTTGTGTGTGAAACGGAGGATCCTCCCCGTCGGCATCACTTTCAAGCATATCTCCGGCTGAGAAAAGGCACAATAGATTTTTTTTATTGAAGTCCTACTATTCTCATTTTTCATCGTATTGCTGCTCCCCTCATACTCAAGCAATCTGTCAAGTGACAATGACTGCAGCAGGAACGTGTAAACAGGACATTTGCATACAGGAAATTGCTTTATTACAATGTGCATTCTCCACAAGCTGTCACTAGGAGGAGAGCCAAAATATGGTTACATCTCTGCAGGAGGAGGAAATCTGAAAAATAGCCTGTCTGGACAGGAATACTCGACAGATCAGCACTGACACACAAACACATGCATATAAAACAGGACGATGCACCCGTTTCCAGTATGGAGCAGAAGAACATCGACAGCCCAGTGAAACATCAGAACAAACGACTGGTGGTTTTCTTTGCAGAGGATTTTTGCACT